GAATTGCCAACTTCACTTTAAACATTGTTTTATTTCTATTTACGCATAGGCTCTTATCAAAATATAAAGGTAATTACTACGTTCAGGGCAGAAAATGGCTGTATTTGAATAACTAAACAATTATAAAGACCAACAAATAAACAGTAAATGATTTATAAAGAATTACAAAAAAAAAACAGATAGAAAATGAATAACAAAACGCAGTTATTAAAAATGATGAAGAATATTAATTTGCATATTAAGCTTTAAAACGCTTAATATGCCAATTAGCTACTCAGCAATAACGGCTAATTCGACTGTGATATAAGATATTGTGGAGGACCGTGGAGTTTGAGTGTTGTTGAATTAGGGGAACGATCTGTTTATTCCTGCTAGAAGAAGGTTCAACTACAAGAAAATGGCGGACACAAGTTTCGTCCAACTGAAGATGTAAAGAAAAACCGATATATATATATATATATATATATATATATATATATATATATATATATATATATGTGTCAACAAATATATGTATTAAACAACAAATTTACAAGTGACAAAGGCATCAACATTTGTGTTTGTGTGTGAACGTAAAGAGTTTGTATTTTGGTGAATGTTCGTACGTAAGTGTATGTGTGTTTCATGGAGTTTTCCCACAAGTGGGCAAAACGCGGATTTCTACGAGAGATTACATTTTTAAATGTGTCCGCTGAAATGCAAAGTAGAAAAGAGAACGAGACAAGAAGTCGCCCAGTATTTATCGTGTGGGGAGAGCGACCCCTAGTGAACAATTAGGGAATTAAGGAGGAGCTAACTCCGACAGTATATTTGATATCTCTTACATATTCTCGTATCTCGACTGATATTCTCGATAGAAAACATTCTATTAATTCACTAATCCGTATCGCGCCTTCGAAACTTCAATGGTTTTTCATTTTATACACTTTTGTTTGTATCGTGAATAATTTGGTAGGAGTATGAAGGACTCTGTGCTATTCACGGTCGTAATATAGTAAAAACTATACAACGTTGTCCCATTAACCCTTATTCAAGAAAAGTTCAATTTGCTGGTAGTATTAATTATAGAAACATTACAACACACAAATCATTTCCTTTGCTCCATCCATAAACAAGAATCCGACATTTGCCTGGAACCAATTCAAAAATGTGCTTGTAATCCCATGTATAATGCTGGGTCTTTTTTCGTTACGAACATTGATGTACATTTTTTGTTCACATTCCGTTTATCATTCATTATCTGAACCACCGTTCCAAGATGCCAAAAACTGCCGCAAATAATTCGACGAATCAAAATGATCGTTTTACGATGGAACACACAGCTTTATTGGAAAGGCGGTACACGATCGTATAAGGCCGAGGAAAATAATTTGATATTTGAACAAATCATGTGGTGAATTTATACAAATAAAAGATCTGAATAAAATAAATGATGGAAATGTTTGCATCCTTATAAAACTATCAACAGCTTACAAGACCAGACCGCTAAAAGGCGCAGTACATTTAGTGTTCAGTTTTGCCCCTGAATTCAACATTAGGTTGTAAAAACTGAAAAGTTACATAAAACAGAAGTCAGTTCAATTTCATTTGACTAACACAGGCACACAAGAATACAGTACCTAATAAAGATATATGGCATTGCGCTAGTGAGCGACCCGTAAAAAGAGTTCTATATGAAATTCTTCGAGATCTTTCCACATGATATATTCCATAAATGTCAACGGTATCAAATTCTAAGTTCAAATGTCCTTTTTTGTTTCAATTTTACTATTGGCTTCAAGATTCTTCTTCATTCGTTTTGCCTCAATTATTTCTTTCATCTTGGGGGAAATTACCCAACATTCACTCCCATACAGGAGAATCGATATTATAAAAGGGTTCAAAACACTATTCTTTCTTTCTAACATTTTTTATTATCTCTTAATAGTTTGGCTTCATCGGCTTTCTATATCACACTTTGAACTGACAGTTAAAACGCTTCCCAGATAGATAGGTTTAGTTTCTTTATTTGTTTGATTTTGAATTGCTCAATTCGTAGCTGGCATCTAGGGTTGTCCTTCTTAACGACCATATATTGTCTTTGTCTAATTGGTGATTTGTGCATTCTTCTTATTTTTCTTTATTACATTGTCTAGTGGTTCTTGAAATGTTCTTTCTGTTTCTGCCATCGACACGGTGTTGTCAGCGTATCTGTTAAAGGTGTGCCCAACAACAATAAATCCTGGTAGGACTTCTACTTCTCTTAGGATCACAGAAAATGAAATCTGCTAACCGAATAAAACATTCCTTGAATTTTTCCCTGATTTCCTTATGAATGGAATGAACCGAATATAATTAAGCGCTTGTTCCGGTCAATGAGAACACGGTCTGTCTAATAATGTTAACCTAAGACTTGAGTCTTTCGTATTTAACATTACATTTTAGTCCACTCTAGTTTTTTGTTCGTTTCCATCGGCCAATATACTTTGTGAGCGACCCGAGTTCACAACCATTTTCTTTATCATTTCACCCGAAGATGCAAGGGGTTACTGGGAGTGAAAGAGAACAAGACTTTAGTGAGGATAATAAAAGAACAGGACTCAGGAAGACAGGAGATGGTGATTGGTGTTGTATTTAATGCTTTGAAGATTGCACGTGACAGGGAAGCAAGGAATCGGAAAGAGAATTGTACAGTCGAGAAGTGCGAGAAAAAAGTTTTTGAATCGAATATACGGTCGCATCGAGCTAGTTCTACAGTAAAACGATTAGACTTAATTGCGAATATAGTGATAATCTTAACTTCATCCAGTCCAGACGCCAAGGAGGAAAGCGACATGTTATATTACACACAATTCTTTGGATTTTGTCCAGAACCTCAAGATATATAGTAGAGGTACCATAGCAGATATGATAACATTATCGAATGCACAGAAGAATAGAAGATTTATAAATTCGTAAGAGGCATTCTGAAGAGAAGAATTGTCTGTCACTACACAGTGAACCAAATTTCCTAGCGGTACACCTAGCAACTTATTTAATATAATCAATCCACATCATGTCAGTGGAAAACGTGTTCTCCAAGAAGGCGTAAAGAGTTGTTCTCCTTAACGTTAGCATCACTCATGCTGATGGAAATTAGAAAACGTTCTCTATGAAAGCAGTTTTTTGGGGGGAGGCATTACAATTAGAAGCCATTTCTTGCCTCAGTTAAATACTGATTAGAGGTCCTTTTCGAGATCAGCTACCAGTTTTACTTTGCTGGACCTGTCAGACGTGCTACTAAGGCCAGATTAAATAGTTATGTCATCAGCATAAATACCTTATTGGGAATTGATTGTTGCAGTTTTTTGTGTATAATATGTAACTAGTGAGCCAATCCAAATAGCTTGACTCACTTTATAGTCTACCAATAGAAAGTTAACCAATCAGAAGACGTAGATCGTTCGATCCGTCGTGTATAAAGGCGGCCATTTTTGTTTACCCTACCCGAATGACCAGTTCCAACTTGTCAGGCGAAGATGAACAGAAGGAAGTACTACGCTCTGGTACTTTGCTGCGATATCCACTGCTAACCTGAACTACGATTTCCTACTGTCTCCGAAATATTCACTGCTAACCCCTGGATTCTATACTCGAAGACGACCGTCATCTGAATAACATTGATGACATTGGGAAGGTCGTTAGTGAAGATAAGAAACAGTGTAGGTTCAAGGGACAACCACATACATAGATCTTACATTTTTGTCTGAGGTGTATGTGAGATTGGCTAATTCTCCTCTGAAGGTGTTGTTTATACATTCATCTGTCAAACGATTTTTTTCGAGCACGCCCTTATCAGTCGCTGCCAAGCCTATAGGTGTTCACCACTTGGAATCACTAATGACAAACAGTGAATCACGAATTTCCACTCAGATCAATCCTACCCTGGGCTTCTTTGATCTGATGTGAAACTGAGTGCAAAGCAACTCCGGTATAATATTACACAAATATACTGCTGCCCTGTTTCATTACCAAATAGTTTTTAAAAAATGTCTCGTCGCTAGCATGCCACAATAACTGATGTAGAAAAGAGTATGTGAGTGGGTACCTGGGTATAATTCTCTTCCATAAATAACGGACCTGTTAATACAGTGGTACCAGTGAATATCTGTTACGTCTGTTTTTAACCTTGGCAGTTTAATGATTTAAAAAAGTCTGTTTTAACTCGCTTACATAGGAAAGGTGTGTATACACACACACACACACACACACACACACACACACACACATATATATATATATATATATATATATATAATGTGAGTAAAAATTACCTTCAGAATCCCGACTCCAGAGTTTCGTAGACGGACCTGCTTATATTTATACATTTTTTTTCTTTTTATACACATTTTAGCACTCATATAAATTCTCTTCTGTAAACACACACACACACACACACACACATACATACACACACACACACACACACACACATATATATATATATATATATATATATATATATATATTTCGTACCATTTGCAAGGTTTCCTTTCCCAAAGTTAACCGCCATTTTCCATTTCACCTTTAAATTATTTCAATTACTGAACATTTTCTACAATTTCTACCGCCATTTTATGTAAAATTGGAAAGTAACAAACCCTTCAAAATACAAGAAGAAATTTGTATCTTTGCTGTTGTAATTTTTGTAACAGCTAATTCAACCAGACAGACACCGATTAGTCAATAATGTATCGATTCGCGCCTTGAGCAAAATGGCCGATGTCCAACAGAACTTTATTTTACTTGACTTTCGTTCACCACCTGTTTGCATCAGTCACCTAATCGACCCAATAGAAAGCAACATGCCTGGTTAACAGACAGATTAAAGTTGTAAGAACAAATAAATAGAAGGATAGGCAAGGCGATATTTGCTCTAGCTCGAAAATTTCCTAAAGCTAAACACAATATATATATATAATTTTTGAATAAATCATTTCTGAACGCATTTTCAGCTGAAATAAAATAGAAATATTTAAAACATAGATAGATAGATAGATAGATAGATAGATAGATAGATAGATAGATAGATATAATAAGCAGATAGATAGATAGATAGATAGATAGATAGATAGATAGATAGATAGATAGATAGATAGATTACTGTCGCTGGTTTCCGAACTTAAACGTGAATTTAAACGTGCTACCAGGATGGCATCTCTGTTCCAACCTTTCAATGTCAAAACAGTTAATTGTAACCGTCTCTTCTACTCAAACAGCTTCTTCTCTCGCACTTCCCGTCTGTGGAACTCCCTTCCCCTTATTTGCTTCCCCGATGACTATAATCTTCAAATATTCAAGTGTAATGTCTATCGATAACTGACACCCTGAGCTTGTTCCCGGTCCACCTCTGTATCCTTTCCTCAAACACGCCTCTTTACTCTTTTTCTCAAACCTGTGTAACCCCTTGCGTGTGCTAGTGGTACTCCTGCCTTGCTTGGTAGTGAATTGTCTTAAAAAAAAGACCTACTTAAAATCGCCGTGATTGCCAGAAAATAAAGAAAATGATAAATATAGGCTGGGATATTTATTAAGCCTAGAGTAAAATATTTTAAATTGCAAATTCAATAAAATTATTCAGTATTTAGAAGTGTAACGATTGTTTGTTTTTTGTTTGTTTTATTACTTCATTGATACATTCAGGCTGCCAGGTTCTAAACAGTTCAAGGGCCATTTCGGTGTAGCTTGACGGTTCACTTGTCTTCATCATTTCTTCGATATACCGTATAATATTTCACATGTTTCCTGGAATTAGATATCATCGTTTCTTGGTCACTTTGCCTGTTGTATTTGCCCCACTACAAAATTTCATACAAATTTCAAAATTTCTTTCATTGTTTTTAATTATGATTTTTTTTTTTTAATTTTTAAACCAGTGTTCGAAAACTCTTTTGCTTTCGGTAATTTTAAGGCAGTGTTCGAAAACTTTTTCTTGCTAACAGAGACGCATGCTTATTTGTACATTAGCGTGTAGGGGAGAAAGATATCACTGCACAAAATTATTCGGTGATATTTGACCGGAAATTTCCACTTTTTGCAGGATTATGTTGATACTAGATTTGATAGCTTTGTTTAGTACAGCTGAAGGCCAAATGGCGAAAGAAAGCAGTTTGCTAAAAAGCTCGCCTTACTCCCGTCTTCCATGTTGGATGTGCCTGCCTGTCTAGAAAATTAACATTTGAAATCTGAATGTTTTCTTTAGGAAATTAAGTCTTCTTTCTTTCCTTCTTTCCTTCCTTCTTTCTTTCTCGCTTTACTCCAGTTTCCCAAATGAGAAAGAACCGCCTGTCTAGAATATTAACATTTGAAATCTTATCGCTTTACTTATTATTTCGAAAATTACTGTATCATTCATTCATTCTTTCTTTCTTATGTTCCTTCTTTTCTTAACTGGTTGGTTGGCTGGTTTTGTTTAGCGGCATATCAGCTTCAGGATTATCTAATGCCAATATCTACATAATTTGAACGTCTTCAACTATAGATAAAATGTATTGTTAGGCATTTTGTTTTAAATATGTATTGTTGCCTATTTTACTACAAATAGGTATTTTATTATATGCATTGTTGGTTATTTTACTATAAATATTGTTGGTCATTTTACTGTTACCCGTATTTTTACTATAAAAATGTATTTTCATACTTTCATAGTGTTTTTTGTTTGGGACTTCACTATTTTCCCATAGCTGGGACTCTAAGAGCGTGGACCTCGGAGCAATGGCAATTAAGAGGCGGTTTCATTCCGCCTCAAAACCTCCAATCTCCCGATCAGAGGTCTTGCTGTCATACCCAGGACTATTTTCGCAACTGGAATTTTTCTTGATTTGGGATGTTTTAACGACCCAGCAACCTATGCGATGTCAGCGAAGGACTTATTACCAGATGGCCTCAATAATATCAAATGAGATCTTCTGCGCTTTTTCCGCGGCTCAGTAAGAGAACAATGATGAGGAAAAATAATGGATCGAATGCCAAACAGATATCAGACAGTGTCAAATCACGGCGATATACGATTGGGGGGCGGCGGTTAATAAGTCCCTCATCCTGAGATGTATGTTTTAGCTGAATTTAAATCTAGAATTATCACTGCATAATATTTGACCTAATTGAAATTTACCACTGAAATACGTTGGCAAGAATGGAAATTATGATGAACAATTTTGTCTAAAATAAATTGTTTTTCTTCATTAAGCTACGGATTTATTGATATACATTTGTATACAGTACATTTCCTCGGCAATTTAGCCATAACTTGCAAATTCATTTCTCTTAATACTTTTCACCCAATATAAGACTCAAGAGCCATTCCAAGAAGATGTAAGACGTACAGTTTATAATGTTATGTAGGAATGATAACCGTTACTCATAGATTTGAAGAGGTCGAGATTGCTGTGTTTAGTAAAACATCATGTTGAGAGTATGTTTCACAAAGTAGCAGTTCTTGAACTGAAGCTATCTGAGTGGAACTTCCTTTTACTAATGGAATACGAAGGAAATAAGGATGATTCGTCCCCGTCTATGGATCTTAGCTGCGAAGGGGTCGGGACTGATGGATCTAAGGAATGTAGCTCGTCAGAACATTTTCCATGGAAATAGCGATAGATTAGCGAGAGATCAATGCGACGTTTCGTCTGTGGAAAAGGTTTTGTAGAGTGGAATATAATTCATCACCCACAAGGATGCGAAGACGTTTGTACGAAAGTGTGAGGACCGGGCAGCTCCAGCACAGATATGACGGTAATATTTCTTTTGTAAGGACAGAACATAGCATAGGAGGAGGAATCAGATACTTACTGGAGCGATAGAAATAACCAATCATTTTTCCAACGTACTTAGCAATATATCGTATGCATGAGTTCCGCTTGAGGTCTGGGGTGAACTTGCGTCCAAATAGTCGTTCAAGCCAAGGAGCCCCCCCTTGAGAAAAGACCCATCTATCATGATAGGCGAAAGTGTAGGGTCTATTTGGTGATGGTGAAATGTTACTAGTTCATATCCGTATCAAGTTCTATGAATAGATTGCATTGAAAGGTTAGTTGCAAAGAGATCTAAAATTGTTCTTTTATATATTGATTCATCTTTTGGGTTTTGTTTTAGTCAAAACAAATAAAACATTTTTACGAACATGTTTCTCGGATAAAATGCAAGAAATAGGACTTTCTCTTTTCACTATTAAAAAAAAAAAAAACTTGAGCTATCTTTTTAACTCAACAGGACTGTAAATAAATGAGACAAGAATAAAAATGTGCTAATCATAAAAATAAAAATAAAAAAACAATAAAACCACTGCTGGGGAAATGTGATTTATTTCTATCCGATTTTATTTCCCCTAAAGACAAAAAGGGTAAAAAAAGGAACTTAAAAACCCTAGCTTTGTTATTCACTGTGCAATTGTAACAATTACTTCCCAAGTCGTTCAACAGAGTGTACAATGGCTATGCTATTTACAGCTAATGCCAGAATATTCATCACAAAGTACAGCCCAGTGGTTAAAATATAGGATAGTTCAGTACGAGGCAGAAGAAGAGAAATGCTGTTTGTCTTTACAAGTAGCTTTTATTGATCGTTTCATTCTCTATGGGTTATCAACCCTTCGCAAATTATTCAAAACCAGAAATTATTTTTGGATTGTAATTTTTTTTTTAGTGGGGTATAATAATGGTTCAGTGATATATGTCACACTAATTAGAGTATATCTGGATGTGAGAAAAGGTGGATTTATTACTTTCCCAAGGATATTTGCACGTATGTAAATACAGGGTGACCACAAAAAACGGGAATTTTTGAAGTGCGTATTGCCAAACATGAGCAAGTGGCAACACTGCGAGACAGTGACCTTAAGCAAGTAAACATTTCGCCATTTAGAATTCAAGATGAAATTCACAGTATCTCAGCTGAGATGTTGCAGCAGTCAATGAGGAATCTCAACAGCAGATTTCAAGAATGCATTCGTATAGGAGGACGCCATCTACAGGACGTAATTTTAAAAAAATGAAAATTCCATCGTTGTTTCTTAAATGGCTTCTTTTAAGGTTTCAATTATTAATGATAAAATATTTTTCTTCCATCACTCTTGATTTTATTGGATTGTTAAAAAGTTCCCATTTTTGGGGGTATAAAGAACACGAATTAACAATTCCGAGTCATTATCCATTATACCAACCACAAAGTTCACAGATCTTGATATTCCCGCTCGATGCCCCATATAGGTACTGACCAGGCTCAACGTTGATCGTACGGGAATCTGGGTCCCAACGTCATGTCGCTGTAAGCCTTTGTAAGTAGCAAACGCATTGGGTATTGAAAGTACAGATAATTATAAATATAGATGCTATAAATAATAGATGCATACGAAATAGTAGATATAAAATAATAGATGTAAAATAATTGCAGGTGTTACAAATAACAGACGAATAAGAATTAACAGATAATTATAGGTGTAAAATAATTACAGGTGTTAAAAATAGCATACAAATAAGAATTAACAGATAAATATAGATTTAAAATAATTACAGGTGTTAAAAATAACAGACGAATAAGAATTAACACATAAATATAGATGTAAAATAATTGCAGGTGTTGTACGTAACCTTGACAAACGAAAATATGTACTTAATTTACTTCAACGTTCATATTTGTTGAATATTTCTGTATATAAATTAAAATAAGCTGAATGGATTTTTTCAACCACACTGAATACAGTTTGGTAAAATGAATTCACCCTAAGTAAGGAAATAACACCATTAAGGCGTAATGGTTTGCTGAGAGTGAAAGAGAATGAAAACATTTTAGAATTAATCGTAAGCCCAATCCTGAACAGGAAACAAGGGATAAACCTCTACTTCTGTTCAAAAGACGGGGTAGAAATGTGAACCGGACGATAGGAGAACATATATACTCCTCATGAGGAGAAAAATAACAAGTCAATAACATGTCAGAGTTCGAACGGAGATGTTAGAAGTATAGTGTTGAAATAGAAAGAACCGGAAACCCATTCCTAAACAGAAAACAAGGTTTAAACCTCTACCCTTCTTCAAAAGACCGAGGAGAAGTATGAAGCAGACGATAGGCGAACCTATCTATTCCTACTAATGTTGACAAACATTTTCACTGCATAAATAAAGGAGGTAATTTTTCTGCGCAGTTTCTCAGATTAAACAACGTTCATATTTTTATCGTTTGCTTTGAAAATCGATCAGTTGTGTTATCAAGTATTTTAATCTTTTCGTTCTCATTGTTCCACTAGTAGAACATATTTTGTGACAATTGAAAATCCAATTAATGCCCGTCTGCTATCAAAAAATACGTCTTAAAATATCTCCCAATCGTAGAACAATGGGTACTAAAATGTTAATCAAATTTCAGATTCAACTTGGACGCCACTAGGATTTTCATTTATTCTTTCGTCTGTCTGTTTTTGCTTTATGTTTAACCTTTGAAAACTACCGTTGCGTTCCCCTCTTTCCGTATGTGACTAGTAGAAACATTAAAACAGACGAATTGCAATGCAAGATTTTTTTTTTATTAATTGTTCACCCAATGCAAGGGCCATGAACCACTCAATATAGGGATTTACTGATTAAGATTGTTGGACGTAAATAGAGGAGGTAAGAAATTCACTTTAAGAGGACGTGTAGGAAAAATATCAGTTAACCCTAGAATTAAGAAGGTAGTGATTGCGGAAAAGTCATCTCGGGAGCCTGTACCGGGAAG